TTTCGTCAAATGTTGGTTCTAGGATGTTCGCCACTTCATAGCATTACCGAAGATTCTTTGGGACTTTCTAGAATAACCAAAGCACAGCCACTGACTGAGAAGCGCATTTTGGCTTTTGAGATAAGAAACCCTATAATTTGTTTATATCTCAATGCGGTCTCTAGTCTGATATCAAAGGCGACGACGGCAGCTGCAAGTAGACGGAGTGTTGCAACGGGGTCGCGAGAACGAAGAGCTTCGCGCAGAGCAATGTATCATCTTTCGAAATCCGAGCCGTTAACCAATTTCTGTGCTACTTTTGCATATAACCCTTCGGCCATACCTCGCGCTACCTTATCGTGACACCTAGGTGAGATGCGCAGCCGGTAGGTGACAGATGATGTCCGTATTCTGCGCGTAGTGATTGATCGCCATTTAATTAGCACCTTGTCGTGACATCTGTGTGTTACAAACTGTTGTAATCGCTGCTCTCGACTAGGGACGAAGTCATCGTTCGAAGGGGGGGGGGGTGTTGGTGCCATTATCCACTTGTCATTGGCAGCCTACACGTGCCAAGTACCACCATTTGTCACCAACGTCTGTTCCGGCAGGGTTAAGTTCCGTTCGTAGGTTGGTTAAACTTCGTATTTTTGGGTAGGCGCGGAAGAGGAAACATCTCCTGGATGAGTGGATGTCGATGGATTCGTGAAGAGCACTTCGTAGAATGTCAATGATCTCAAGATCACGCAATAATCTACGAATGGACACACATGTGCTCTAGGATTCGTACACATTGGACCATTGAGATCCAGTTTGAGCCCATCCCCCCTTCTCCTCCCTCCTCCCCCCCCCCCCCCCATCCACCTCAGACGTCCTTATTTGGGCATTAAAATTCTATAGTCGTCCCAGCTGCCTTCTCTAGGCTTTCGCCCATCAATCATCTTTTCACTTACTAATCAAGCCTTGACTTCATCTTTTCTATGCCTTCCTAACCTTCACAAACCCCATTGTACTTCCCCCCCCCCACAATTTCTATACCAAGATTTGCAAACAATTTGCAAATGACCTGCCCTAGCAAGTGCTGCACGTTTCCTCGAGCAATGGCCCTGTCCATTACGAACCCGAGAATGATATGAGGATGATGAATGAGTCTTCGGTCATTTCATGGATATTGCGGTGCCCCATTACACTGTTCCGGCTTTGCCTTCAAACTCCTTCAAAGAAAGTTTTGTCTCTGCTCAATAACTCTCATTCATCTCATTTCACTATAGCTTGGAATTTTTACAGTTCTTTTCATTGCGCTTTTAGTATTTATTCTTTGGTAAGAGAAAAAGTGTCAATCTATAAGAAATGTTTGGTGGGTCATATCATATAATTTGCCGAATTTTTTTTCTAATCTCTCTGTGGCCCACGCATGATTGAATCTGTATTCTTTGCGCTCACCTATCGTCTCTTGAGATTTTTTACATTTTTTTGCTTGGCAATGAAATTTAGAGCTTTTGACTGGCCTCTTTACTTTTCCGCCACAATTTTCTGGACAATACCAGTGACTTTGATTGATACAAGCAGTCTGTGCTTTACTGCACCTGACAAGAGAGAAGACATAAACTCAGGAGTAAAATTATTTTTTTCATAGTTCATCAAGGATTTTTCTAGTAATAAATACCATTTTCATAGTGCAGGCAAAACTTGAGGCCGAAATTGCGCATAAAGGTATTAATAATTTTTAAGCAATGAATTCAGTGGGCAGAGAGTGTTACGATCTTGATGGAAGAAGAAAGATGTATTTTTCAAATGACTCCGAGCTTTTATGGTAATCATTTCAATCTTCCGAGAAAACTTTTTCAGGTTTCACCACGTAATTAATGGACTCATCACCGCACGCGGAATTCACTAAAAATTTATGCCGTTTTTCACAAAATTGGTCGTAAAGCGTCTTTACACATTTTAGCGAGAAACACAAAAATAATTGTAGCTTCAAGAACCGGATTAAAATACACCGGAAATATTCCTGAAACGTTGACAACCGTTTAATGAGGTCAGTAGCAGCCAATTACGGATCGCTTAATCGTAAGCTACGAGAATAATCAAATGAGCAAGTGAACTGCATGTCCTTGGAAGCGGTATTATCCTGGATTCAACAGCAAATACAAATTCTATCACTATCTCCCATCTATTTTATGTCACCTGTCTGCAAAGTTTAGTTTAGGCGTTTTGCTCCATGTTTAACTGTAAATAATAAACAAAAGGAAAAAACCGAGAGCGCTGACTCTTTTTTTTGCAAAAAAAGCAAAGATTGCGAAGCTGCTGAGGAATTGTTCAGCATCAGCAGAACATTCGTAGAATTTGCGCTTTTGACGTCTCAGTCGGCGCCTCTCCACCTTTTGAAGTGCTCTTTGCAGTGCTGCAAATAGTTAAGTGTGGTGGTTGAAGAACTACTCTGATAGTAGAATCTCTACGCATTTGCATTTCGGTCATGAACTAGTTCTTCCTCACGCAAGGCAGTCACAGGGTGAGAAGAGGCAGTCATTATGTGTTTTGAATGAGTTCCAATCATGTCATCTGCACTTTGGCCTCCATTTGACTTTCACAAATGCAATTCCAAAAATTCCTGCGTACCTTCCTCCAAATGGAACAGACTATAACAAAATTTCATGTTTTGTTTTCCTCTATTTGCATTCGGCTGCATAAATTTTCCAGCCAAAACTCACTTCACAACGCATTCGCCGTCGGCTGTCAACTCGCATCGAATCATAAAATGCATCTGTCGAAAATCATCTCACCCATACTTTTCCGACAAAACACATGATTTTTGGTCTGTGCGGTTATTGATCACCATTTCATATTTATTTTTCGGACATTCGCTCTTTTGGCATGAACCACCATATGGCATGAACTGGAAATACTTTGTGATAAACATTTTTCACGTTGCTTTACTCTTGTCCCCACTTTCCTCTATTATTTTACCAAAAGCAAAACATTCCGACCCTGGCAGGACTCGAACCTGCAATCTTCGGATCCGAAGTCCGACGCCTTATCCATTAGGCCACAAGGCCACGATGAAGAGGGTGTCGGTGGTGTAGTTGGTTGCGATCTGAGAAATAGATCTTTTCTTTGGAAGAATCATCTACCTTCTGCCTCATACAACTTCCATACTTTCAAAAGTGTCAATTTCTTTTTTTGGGAAATTGTAGACTAAAATTTAGCCGTTTTGCTCACTGGTTCACTTGAAAGTAATTGAGTAACGAAAAATTTGCTGTGATATAAATAATGCCTTTTTTTAAGATGTGGTTTAGTGTCTGATGTTAGTTCATAGAATTTCATCGTCGGTGCTGTTTTCTCTTTTTTATTATCTTGTCTATTTCCCAATACAATTCTGTTTTTTCTGCAGTAGAATGCTCTAACGACAATTAGGGATAAGAACCTAACCCCGTTTATGCAGTAACCTGCAGTTATCAATGCAGACTGTAATCAAGGCACTTATTAGAAGAGCTAGCTATTTTCTTTTCAAGTACAACAAGAGGACACTGACGCTAGAGACCGATCCTGCAATGATCCGATTATTTTTCTGCTACTGTTTTGTATCAAGCTGCATTTCAGAATGCTTTTTGAACAGATTAAATGTTCTTAGATTTTTTCGCTAGGAGATTTGCAACCAAATGCAGACCATTTTAAGATTTGACCATATCTGGAGGTGTGGTTGAAGCTGGTTACTGTAAACTCATACAAGAATTTTTGATAGTAGAAATTCATCAACAAAACGTTAACGTTGGGTGCATATTGGATTTATGTTTTTCAAAAATTTTTCAATGTTATCTGACAAGTAATAAGCGATGTTTTCACCAACTACCCTTTCGTTTTGCGGTAATCTTATCTTGCCTCGCACTCAAACGAATTTAGAGCTTCCCAAAGTCTGCTATATAATTTAAAGGTACCTTTGTTTTTGAGATTGTAATTGCAGTTTCACATGTTCCAATTTGTCAGTAATCCAACGCAAATCATTGAGATTTTTATCCAGTAGCGAAGTCGAATGTTCGAAAAGTGAAAGCACAGTTATCACAATCTAAGATGACACCGAAGATTATGTCACTGTTTGGATTTTTGACAATCTATGTCTGCAATTGTTCTTATCAGAACTGCTCTATAAGGACCATTACTATTAATGCTAGGATTGAATTCATGGTCTCCTTTTTGTTGGTTTTCAGGGAAGGGATTCATCACTAGTGTTTGCTTATTCAATCCAGATATTGTAATCGGAGTATTTATTATCGAAAATCTTACAATGTATGCAATATTGTAACTTTACTCCTTGAGTCGCTCCTTCAAACCTCCCGAAGTATAGCTGATTTTTTAGGAAGGTGGTGCGGAGGTGGTGTATTTCTATTATCTTCATGAATAGTGACTTTCACTTGTTTGTGATTTGCACAAAAGTCTGACGAAGTTGCAAAGAATTTTTTACGGAACTAAGTTTTTTACAGCATTCTAAAATTTTGTTTGTTCACCAATAGAAGTTCTAAGGCTCGACACAGGTGGTAAGGAAAGTAAATGCTTCTGGGCAAATACCAAATGGAATATCGTTTTTTTGGGCCAAAAAACACAAGTGAGGTTAGGTAGTCGGATTTTCGGTTTTTTGTCGATTCGGATAATTCGGATAAGGGTCTAAGGGGACCTCGTAGCATATATAGAGTAAAATCTAGGAAGTTCTGCGGCGCGTTCTCAGAATGGGAGGGTCCACCCGAGTAAGTTTTCGCAAGAAAATCATCCTCGTAGGCGTGCCAAATCTTGAGAGTTTGCCGCGTTTTCAAGTCAAACGACCTTTTCGCAGCGCGCCATGTTTTTTCGGTTGTTGTCAACAAAGTTTGTTGTTTCCGTGCCGCCGGTCCACGTGTGATCCAGAAGAGTGGACGTGGTGAAAAGCAAATGTGTGCGATAAGTGCGCAAACACTCGTGTGTGCCTTGCAAATCCGAGATATCTCGTCCTCTCGATCCGGCCGTGTCCTCGACTGATTTCTTTTATCACAGATGCCGCCATAGCCCCGCTTTCAACAAGATGTTGCCATGATTGTTGCCCTACTGCTGCTACCGACTACGGTAGCGCTTTGTCCTGACACCGCCACCTGCATCAGTCGAGTGAAGGAAGTCGTCGCCGCACCGCGGAAGTGAGTCATACTGTAGTCTGTAGTCGATTCTATGCATTATTTGTGGCAGTTTTTATGTTACCATTTGACTTTATATATAAAACAAGGCTTCTCCTGAAGATTTGCTCCTACTTTGCTTAAGCACATAATACGCACGAAAAAAGATGTTTAAAAATGCAAGCATAGTCGGAATTAATATTTTTTAAATTTTTTTCCGTCTCTGCATATTGGAATTTTTGACCACTTTCAGTCATTTTTTGAAAATCAGTCCTGAAGTGCGCCATCCACTTAACCCACCTGTGTCATGACAGTGCTGTTACCTATTGGTAAAGAATGCAAAATGTTCACAGGAGTAGTTTTATGGAATAGAATGAGTGTGGAAGCGATCTTTCAAATCCTTATTGTTCTTATGTCTCATTTGAACAATCGCCTCTTTGCAAACACAATCTTTTGAAGCTCGGAATTTTCTACAAAGAAGAGAATACAACTAATTCATGTTGACCTTAACGCAATTCTGTGATTTTGGAAAAAAAAGCATAACTTGGAGATTTTCATATACACTCCTATATTTGAATTTTCTCCTGCAGACTGCTCGTTTTGTCATGTGACACCGGTATTTCTCCAATTTTATTCTGAAATCACGAACGTTTTTCATCAGAATTCAAAAAAGTCAGATGCGTCGGCACATTGTGCTCGTGGCCTTGAAAATGTGTATTTTCAATTCTGCTCTCAGCCTTCTTTTCGAGAGTGATCTATCTTCCAGAGAGTGCACAAATTTCTAGAAAACCTTGTTAGGGTATGACAAGCAACAGTATTTCTTTGTACAACATCCGCACAAGAAAGATTCTACGTTAATGGTACAAAATCAGAGAGTTGCTTCTTCAGGTTTTGGTTCGGCGAGCAGCGTCGCTCGCTTTGCCAAGGAAGAAATGCTGATCCGATAGAATGCTTTGGACCGGAGCAGCTCAGTGCATTCCACTCAGTCGGTAGCCGTCTCTTTCGAGTGCGAACTTATCATGCAGCGTATCTCAGGAATTTGCGGATTTTCCCTAGAGTCACATTCAGAGCACATTCAGGTAGGGAGAACCATGCTTTCAGAATTAGAAACACAGGGGATCTATTCCAGGCGAATACCGCGCATGTGATCATAACTTCCGCGCTGGTAATGGCAGCGCTCAGGTGATCGAGGCAGATCCAGACATGTCGCCTGTGGCTCCGTACTTCATTCGCTCTAAGCCGGAGTTTACCTGGCATGGGCTACGATATGATGAAGAGTTTACTATAGCCATTATTGACGTGGGCTTTGGATCGTTAAACTACTTGGTCACAGGATTTCCGCAAAATCCGAAGGTGAGGCCTTAGAATTTTCGAGAACCCTATAATCTTGATTACTTTCTATCAAAACTCTTCGTTGGCGTTGAAGGCTATTTTAGAGAGATCTTTATTAGGTTGTACCGAAAGCTCTTTCGCACCAAATTTAAAAAATTCATAACTTCTGATTTTCCCAACCAATTTGACTGCTTTTATTTTTATTTGAAAGAGTAAGTCATGCTCTTTATAAAGACATCTTAGCTGCTCGCTAGTGGTCATCTGTTGTATAGATAGGAGCGATAGAAGAAAATTAGTCAAAATTCGAATTTTCTGTGTAGGGTCATAAAAAATCGGAAACTTGCAACAAAAATCGGAGCAGTCTTGCAGTTTTAGAAAGAGCTGGTGAAAGAACCTACAATACCGACAGCTCCGATTTTTGTTGCAAGTTTCCGATTTTTTATGACCCTACACAACTCAAATTTTGAGTGATTTCAGTTTTGAGCTTCTATCTCCTTCATTTGTATACATTAACGAACAATTTAGGTACATATGCAAGAAACATGAGTTTCTCTCTCAAGCAAAATTTTGATCGTACAAATCCCTTGAGAATCTTAAGAGTTATGAATTTTTGAATTTGGTGCGAAAGAACTTTCGGTACAGCCTAATATAATTTTCCACTCTGCACGATGACGATCTTCACATCGAGCTATGGTAATGAAGTAATCGATACATTGATCTTCAGATTCAGGAAGTACTCTTGCCCTCCCTTTTTTTTTATATACAAGTAATTGCTTTTTCGTTTTATAGCGTCATTTTTTTGACTACCTCGGACTCCTGTATTAACGATTCCCTCCATCATGACCAGTTTCAAAGCACTCTTCCATCAAGTATATTTGTAGATACTCCATGAGTACGAACCATCAGAAAACTTTCGCCCTGAAGCGAATCCAATGGTGGTGGTGGTTTTCCGCAAGTCGAATCCGTCGCTGAAATTCTCGCGAACCAAGGACTTCGACATTTCCAAATTTATGCTAGACAACGACTTTGCTGATGGTAAGTTGCCATTCATCCAAAAAAATTGATTGAATTGTTTCGCACTTGTGATTAATTTGAAACATTTATTAGAGAATCATTCTTTTAGGTCTATTGCATAAATTTCAGACCTCGTTGGGCTTTCGCTCGTCATAGTTGGCAGTGATGCTTTTGCCATAGAGCGGCAACGTCTTCGCGGTATCGTTGACAATTGTCATAGCCTTCTTAGAAGCAGTAAGTTGAACAGAGAAACAAGACACTTATCGCTCAAATTTTGAATTCTTCAAAATTGTGCGAGAAACATGCTTCTCTAGAACTTCGACGACATCCGCCCTCTTCGCTGCTCAGCCAACTACCTCTAGATGAGCTGAACTCGTGGCTGACTGTCTCTGTTGAACAACCAGCCCTCGATGTCAACGTTTGCTGTCAGAGACTTCGGCAAAAGTGAGTAATATTTATTAGAGAAAAATGACTAAAAAAAGCTTTTTTAGTCGAGAAACCGTTTTCTTCGATCCTCTCGGTGCTTTGACGGTATCCGCACTGTCGTTGCTCAATCCGCCTTCTGTAAATTCTGCTCGTATACCTATCCCAACTACTTCGTATGTCAATTATCATAGACAAGCTAGGACACATATAGGTAAGTCTGGGACGACAGCTTCTTCTTCGGCGCTTTGAATTTTTATCGTACTTGGACCTCTCAAATGTGAGAGTCCAAAATTGTGCTTTGAAGCTTTCGAACTTTAGAACTTTCGTACTCTTATAAATATTCTTGGTGGAAACGCGAGGTGTATTCCGAGCAAATATACGACTAATTGTCGCTCTACCTGACAATCAGCGGTAACTTCAAAACACTAAATGTTATCATCACATCATTTTGAAATGAAAGGAATATTACCCTAAAAGTCATATTCAGTTTTCACTGAAATAGACTAAATAGACTCTGAGGTCTTCTGCTGTGCAGATCTCAAAAACCAAAAATATAGTATCAGAAACTGGACTCCTTGCCTTGATAAGAGTTCACGACGTTCAAATGCACGTAAAATGCTTAGGATACCTTCGTATTCTAAATTGCAGCACGATTTTTTATCAGCTTGTGTCCAACATAAAATCACAGATTTGCAAACTTCATTGATTTAAGAAGTACTATCTATTATCTCCCAATTGTTTCTTTCTCTTTATGACCCTGATAGCGGCAAACCGTAGCAGTATGTACCTGAACCTGCCTACAAGTTTGAAAAATAACTAACGAACAAGTATAGATTCAATTTGCCTCAGACAGTTTAGAGAATAACGACTACGGAAAAAAAGCAAGTATAACAAATTGTTTGCAAATTTTAGCGTTCTTGGTTCATAACGACAAATCATTCGATTAGAAGATTGAATTTTTCTTAATTGGTCTGACCCTCCTTTTCCAGCTTTAATCGACGATATGTACAGTCTTGTTGCTCTTGACGCGACCACGTCACGACTACATTGGTTGGTCGTTGATATCACGGCGCAGGAACTCGCTTCAGCGTCCAATGGAATTACTGTGAGTAGCCATCTCATCGGAACTGACAATGCGATTCCGAGCAAAGAGCATAGCCATAAGGCCAATTTGCCAAAAATGATTTAGAGTTCGAAGATGCTCGCGATTTCTTGAGATCACCAGAATTTGCCGTTTAGAAAGCCAAGTACCTGCCATTTGCTCCGTCGAAGCCGGCCACGTGTTCGCCTTTTGCGCTTTTCCTCTTCTCGCAACCGTCTTCGCTGGATATGGTTCCATCGTTCTGCGAAAAACAGTGCGATCAGCGAGAAAGGTTTAGGTAAGCACAGATATGAAGAGCGAGCTCGAAGAGCACAACTTAAAAAACTCAGTCGGAATAAGGTACAACAGTACCACTCACATAACTTAAAAAATTTCCGTGAATGTCGCGAATTTCCGAAAATTCCGTGAAATTCCCGGAAATTCGCAGAACTTTGCGGAATTCTGGGAAATTCGCGACATTCACGGAAATTTTGCAAGTTATGTGGGTGGTATTGTACATAGGATTGCAATACAATATCAACAATATCGGATATGGGATATTTTAAGCCAAAAATATTGAAAGCCCATTTTAATTATATGTAATATAATAAAATGTGCTCCAACTTATATTGACTCGTTCCAAAAGTCAAGGTCCTGTCTTATTCTTGGGATCGCAGCTATCCTCCCATTTCAATTATTCTTTTGATTAATTAATTCATTCATTTAATTCATTTTCAAATTAAGGTTTGCGATCAACGAAATGAAGCTTGCGATGATTGGAGTTTTTTTCTTAGATAAAGAATCAGATTTCTCGAAAAGGAAAATGCTAAAAAATTGATTTTGCTGCTTCGTATCCTTCTTCTTCAAAATCTCTCTCGGAATTTTCATTTAGCACTATAATCTCTCGTTCTAATACTTCTTACGACTCTAGGGAATTTTAGATAGCAAAATAAAATTGTGTGATGCGTTAAAGATTGAACATGAAGACCAATAGTAGACTAAGACTCAGCTAATTGAGAAGCAAAATTTGAATTTTTGAACTATATTAATCTCAGGATCGACTTGTTCAAGCAACGTTACGGACTTCGGTTACGAGCACTATCATGGGTCACTGCTTGCTATGACTTACCTTATTCATACCAAGTCATAAAATCCATGACTAATTCAAGTGTCAATGCTGACAGCAACATCAGCAGGTGAGTCATCTCCCAATTAAATATTTTGCTTTACGAAAGCATTTTCATGCACAGAAACTCTAATTGCCCCTGCTTCCAGATCCGATCCTTCGCCGGAACCGTCGTCACTCATTTGTGCCACATTCCATGTTTCACATCCTCAGCGGTGTCGAATTAGCTCTTCTAGTGGAGCCGTCGCTTTACCATTGCTAGTGCTACCGTTACTCTTCGCCTTGGCCCTTGAGCGACGATTTTTATAATCCCCTAATGAGCTGTGCACATCTATGCTATTTGGCTCATTGTTGTCTTCTTTCACGTCTTCAATCTACGAGTGAATTTAGTCGGCTGAATCTCCTGTTGCTGTCACGCTTTGTAAATGCATTTTGTTCTGAGATTGTTCTGTATAAAGATTTATATAAAGTCCAAAAACCCTTCACCAGAATGCGTAGAATTCTGACATTCTGCGAGAACCGTCAAATTGTCAATCAATACGTACCAGAGAGCCACTGATAACGAGGTTTGCTTAGCGCAGCCGTACCTATAGCTACAGAGCGTTCGTTGAGCAAGTTTTCTTCCACTACTTCACCTTCCCACAGATTTCGTCTCTTCCGTAGAGTTCTACGAATAGTCTTTTTTTCACATTATTTCTCAGTTCACAGCTGCAAGTGTGTCTTTGAAAATTGAATTCCTCGTATTTGCGCACTATGAAAAAATCGGGGATTCTCACTTCTTTGCGGTTTTTTTCTTTAAAAGATAAGTTCTACTCAAACAAAATTTATATTCCAATTCTCACTGAAGTGCTCTTCCCAGAAATACCGAAGACTGGACAAAATTTCGTCTGCAGCATTTGTAAGAGCCGCAAAAGCGACCGAACTTATTTATTAGCCAACTAGTAGATAAGTTACTAAGGTATTGCAAAGAAACACGATTGAGTGACGTAAAATGACTATCGTATTATGACTTGATCAGCGATTAGTTCTAAGTGACAGTGCACATGTGAATACTCTAATCAAGGTACAAATTGTAATGCTTCGAGTTATGTAATTTGTTACATTCCAGCAAAGCAAACGTTCTTTCTATCAGGTTGTAAAGGAAGTTTCTGGATACTTGCGAAATTTTTTTCAAACTGCTGTAACTTCAAGCAGATTGATCCTTCTTGGAAGCTGCAAACTTTGCTGCAAAGCAATCTTGTCTAGCTCATTTTATTGGATCCTCAGCACTTCATTTCGGGCCACCAGCATGCGCAGTAGGGAAAAAGGTCGACATAAAATTCACCCTGTGCAGGAATTAGTCAGGCTTGAAGAGAGCTGGAGAGCTCATATATGGTAATTATGTAGAATTCTGGTGGGGCTGTTTACAGACCGTGTCACAACTTCAAGCACAGACTGTGAAAAAATTTCTCCTGAAAAAATTGGAAAATCTGCCATTTTTTTTTACCCTAAATTGCCCCATTTTTTTGAGTAAGTGAGTTTGAAGTCTTCCTTTTTTCCACGGAAAGAATCAACCTTTGATTGTTGCAAATATTGTTGGGGTAATGGCTTGCACATCTTTTGAGCCCATCACCGAGGCATGGCGACCCTTATTCGACGCCGACTGCGGAAACTGGTACGGTTGAAGGCACGACTGAGAGCTTGTAATTTTTGTACGCGTGTTGTAAAATCCAAGCACAGTTGCGGTTTTGAAGTGGACAGCCTCTTTATTCAGACTAACCAAATCTTGAATGGTTTTCTTTGTTGACTGCGAAAAAATAGCAGCGAAAAGAAAAATGGTGGAATTTTCATCGTTGCCCAGAGACTTCCTGTTTTAGTGTGTTGGTCAAATACGGCTTGTCATTGATAAAGACCCGATGTAGTCTGGAGCTCTTAGGCTTTTTTTTATAGAACACTAACTTGTCGTTAAGGTTCAAGTGCGTGCGAAAAAACTGAGTCAAAATAAAATTTCCAAAACTGCCCGGAAACTTCCTTTACAACGTAATACATCTTCGGAAAATGTTCGATAATCCACCTCGTCTTTTTAATCTCAATGTTACCACTGTTATCAAGTCTGATTTTTTACTCGTCAAAGAAAATGTTGGATTCCATCACCTTTCAAATGAAAAGTATTATAAACATTCAAGCAAATTACTCTAACTTCCGAGAACTGCCTTTTATCCAGTTTCTTTATAGTCAAATAACTTTAAAAATACTGGAACCTTGAATTTATTTGGTCATGAAATCACTAGTTGAAAGAAGCTTCAAAAAGTCAATAGCTTTGAGTTGACTAAATTGTACCTTACAAACGCTCAAAAGATTTTCAGCCCTGTATAAAGGACCTTGGACATTGCGTTGAAATTTAATGCTCTTGAAGCTATTAAAGCTTCTGTGCTGACATCGAGCCATGTGTTCTCGAGCTCGGCTGGAGCTGTTAATTATTCTCGCTAGTGTAAAGGACTACCATAAGTCAAAATTGTGATTTAACTTGATTGGACCCCTTCTGCGAACAATTAGCCAGTTCTTGTTTTTGCTATCATGGCACCACAACTCGAATTTTACTTATTTGATTGAATGTTAAATGGGAGAAGAAAAAGAGACTAAAATCTTTATTCACTCACGAAGCAGATCCAGCATGACAGATGGTTCAGCCTCGACATTTTTTCTATGAAATTTTTTTGTGGTTGCCGTTATTCAAACGACTGCTTTCATTTATCATAATCCGATTAGCACATTCCTTTTTGATTTTCACCGACAACTGCTATATCACATCTTACAGATGAGTGATTCGAAGGTGATAATTTCTAGAAAAAAAGTTGAGTTTAAATACCATCAAAGAAGTATAACTGGTTTTGCATCGCGATTTGCTGCAAATAACTTGATATGAACGTGTATTCTGGAAGAATTGAGGACGCACACCTCTTTGCATTCTCGTCTTGCGTTTGTTCACCAAACAAGCAGTTCCATTCGCTGCTTAGTGTACCAGGTAGTCGACAAACTTCGCTTTCTAATGCCTCTTCAATAAACTTCAGTTTAGAAATGTAGCTATCATGGTCAGAAACTGTTTGAGTAGAACTTTATCTCACAACGTCGTTTTCGGCCATGTGTGGTTGCACAAGATGGCAACTGAGATGCGAAAAAAGACGGAGAAGTACAAATGAACTAGATAAATGCATTAGGGTGAACGGTAAAAAATGAGGCATTTACAAGGGAACGATCACAACTTAAGGTGGCGAATTGGAATGAACCGCAGATGCGCCTCGATGAGCCGATTCCAAATCTACCTTTCATATCTGCGATGCCGTTCTCAGCAAAAAGTCAGAAGCGGTTGAAAATGTGAAGTCATTGGGGTTTCAATGCATAATGTGCTTAAAAATCCAACTTGGGAGTGTATGACTGGCATGGTATTGAGTATACTGATTTCAAGGAATGCTCACATTCAGAAGAAACACAAATAAGTGTTTTTGAACAACTAATTATCAAGGTATGGCACTGTATATGTATTTGCCAAATTTGGACTTTTCGTTGCTCATAGCTTTTACTAAAGTGATTCAGTTGTTTTTTAGTTGTTTAAAAACACTTAACTGTGTTTCTTCTAAAAGTGAGCATTCTTTGAAATCAGTACACTCAATATCATGCAAGTCATACACTCCTAAGTTGGATTTCGAAGCACATTATTACTGAAACCCCAATGACTTCACATTTTCAACCGCTCATAACTTTTTACAGAGAACGGCATCGCACATGAGAAAGGTAGATTCGGAATCAGCTCATCAAGACAAATTTAATGATATGCGGTTCATTCCAAGTCGCCATTTTAAGTTGGGATTGTTCCCTTATTAGAGAATAATTGTAGACTTCTCAAGAAAGAAAAGTGATTGAACTTTCCAATATTGATAGATATTAGAATATACGGCTCGGTGGGCCCTAAGCACCTAGATTTACCCGAGACACCCGCACGCTCGCCCGCTTAATACATACGACGCAACCTATCCTACTAACTCGTCCTACGCGCGACAAAAGGCTACATTAAAACTTACAACTAAACTACGAAGAAGACTACCAAAATCAAGACTAAAATACTAAACGATAATAATCAACACGGGACGAGCTGCCCCATCCCGTGCTACCGATGAAGCGGTCTAGGTAAACTCTAACGATAAGAATGCTCCCGAGGGTTCACCTAAACAGATCCGCCGGATACCAGGCGCAACAGCCTCTCCGCTCCCGAAGTCTGTAATATGTAAATGTCCCAAATCTCAAAAGCTCCAAAAAATAGCGCGTCCAAAAAGATTCCCAAATCAAGCTCGAATTCCAGATTAGTAGAACTTCCGATCCGCTCGACCGCTAACGCAAAGGAGAGGTAGGTGCCAGAGTAAGCGAATATTTTGTTCAGGTTGGGGTCCCGCGCAGAATTGACGTCTCTCACCATGCTGGCGTCAATCCAAGTGAAGTCAATTCTGCGCGGGACCCCCAACTGAACAAAATCGCTTACTCTGGCACCTACCAGACATCAAAAGCGGGAGCTAACTGCCAGGCACGAGCACAATGGAAAACATACGAAAAGATTATCGATTGAAAACGAAAGCGAACAGACGCTGCAATGAGGCGCAGACGCTATATATAGCCTTTTTGCTGGCAACGCGCCAAGGCGAGGAGAGGTCCAGCGGCGATTGCGGCAAGCCTGGGAAAGTGCCGTAATCGTCGCCGGATAGCGCGGCAGCAACTCTCCTAGAAGTAGGGGGCCGGGAGCAAGCAGTGCTCCCGACCCCCTACTTCTAGGAGCGCTCGCATCGCAGGGCCGCGACACTATTCCCTCTCAGATGATACCTATTTGAGGTCAGTTAGATACCTAATAATTTTTATACTTGCTGAGATGCCAAGTTAATCACATCGACAAATTATCAACTTCGAGCAGTATCTGCGCAGTGAAACATGTGAGACCATCCATGATACCACTGCTGCAATGATGGTACTCTCACCAAACCCACGATAGCTTGCCGGCCCCAACGTTTAAAGACAGTGTCCGGGCAAAAAGTCGATTTTGATTTGTGCTTACCCGGGCCTATTCGCTACGCTGAATCCGAAAATGCACATTGGAGAGCGCGACAACGGCGAAAAACGGCTCTAACACGGGAGGGAAATCAGCAGGTGGGCGGGGTCCTCCCCACTGTGAACTCACGCTCCCAGCTTCCAGAACGATCTTCTCGGTTCTGATTTCAAGCCATGCATTCGCACCTGGCCGGTGGAGATCTCAGGGCGCTAGAGGAATTGGGAAGATCGCTCCAGAAGCGGGACAGCGAAATTCACAGGGGAGGACCACGCCCACTTCCGATTTAGCTCCTGCGTTAGAGCCCTTTTTTGCCGTTTTTGCGTTTTTCAATGTGGATTTTCGG